AAGTAGAGCATGTGAGCTTAACCAGTGCACCAGTGGGCCGGCCCCTAGCTTTGGTTTTTCATTTTAATGACTACATGTTATGTCTACGAGAACTCCCATTGGTATTTTTCATGTCTGGCTGTTCTTTTTTATAACTGCCTGTTTCCATTCATAACCTCCCGTTCCTCACTGATGAATGCTTTTCCCTCATTCCTTCATCTCTGAAAATCTTGACAGTCTGCTTAAGTCCTTTCCAGTCACTTTTCTCTGTCTTTCCTTGGGTTGAAGTTCACCGACCTCGGGTCTGTTGGCGACTCTCCTGGAACCTGGTCCCCTCAGGTGCTTTGTGATTCTTTTGAGAGCTCGTCCTTCATGGGGGGTGTGTCTTCACTGCACACTCGCTCGTCCCTGGAAGGAAGCTTCAGATCATCTCATCCCAGGGCCCCCGGATCCATGGCTCAGAATTGAGTGGGTTAGTTTTCACCCTGAGACAGCCTGCTCCCGGGTGCTGTGTGCGTCTCTGCTTCCTCTCTCAGCAGATGACTTCTGGCCCCGGGCATCAGCCAGAGCTGGTTTCAGCTTCTATTCATCATCAGGAACCCAGCCGCAGGCCTCATGCAGGGATCCCCGCGGCACATGCACTCCGTCCGCCCGTGACGGCTAGAAGCCTGAGCCTCGGAGCTTCAGCCCCACTCACCTCAGCACGGTGCTGCTCTGAGAGCCGAGGGGAATCTCGTCTTGTTTTCCAGTACATATTTTAACTTTTAAAATCATTTTGTCTATTTCCGTATGTTTGGAGAAGACGGGAGATTTCCACGTCCCGGATACTGACTAGACGTCTCCACTGTTATTTCATCCAGCCACCATGGGCTTGGTTCCTTGGAATTGTGACCTAAAAACCCACTGCCCCACCTCCACAGAAAATGCAAGGAGATGCGGTCCCGCCCTCAAGCAGTGTTCCAGGGACAGAGCTTCCGAGACGGACAATGATGCCCAGAGCTCACGGTGCGGGGAGGGTGGGGTTGGGAGGCATTTAGCACAGCTGTTCTCAAATTTCAGCAAATGTCAGACCCCCTGGAGGGCTGGTAAGACACAGACCTCTGGGCCGTACTGATGGGTTCAGATCCAGCAGGTCTGGGCAGGGCACAAGAATCTGCATTTCTAGAGAGTTCCCGGTGATACTGTGCTGCTCGTCCCAGGACCCCACTTTGAGAACCGCTCAAGAAGGAAGGAAGCTATTTTTTCCATTTCGTTTGAGATGTTCACATGGTCGAGTGAAACAAATAGGAGGAATTTGGAAAGAAAGCCCAGCTCAGAAGTGCTGTGGGTCTGGCGCTGGGAACAGGAACACAGAAACCGCTGTTTTATAGCAGATGTGTGTGTACGGTCTCAGACGGTCCAGGCACAGACGTGTTCTCATCAGAAACTTATGAATTGAGCCCAGCTGAGCCCCGGGAGACAGGACTTACCTTCCAAAGCTGAATCCGGTCAAACGCTTCCCCGGAGATGGACGGTTCCTGCAGAGCGAGGGGCTATGCGACAAGAGGGGGTCTGCCTGTGGCTGCACATAGGAGTGGTTATTTCCTGAAACAGGGCCCAAATCTTTTTTTAAATTAGGTTCAGATGTGAAATCTCTAAATCTGAAGCCCGCAGTCTTCCCAGAGTGAAGATGAAACCCTAGGTTTTTGTTGGGGGGGTTCCATGCTGCCGAAAGGACGACGACGCTGGGTCCTCTTGGGTTTGTGCAGTGGGACGGCCTGTGGGGCAGGAGGCTGGGTCTCTGGCAGCCTCAGCCTGCACCTTGGTGCATCCAGCGTTTGGCCTGGAAGCCTGGGCCCAGAACACAGAGCTCGCCTCACCTCTCGATTTGATTTCCCCATCTTAATAATACTCCGTTTTGCACAGAGCCTGGCTAGAGTCGCACTGGTTGTACAGACTAATGCAGACGGGTGGGAGGTAGATGGATGGATGGTGGGTAATTGGATGGGTGGATGAAGGGGTTATTAGGTTGAACCACATAAATTGCTGATATTCAACTATTTTCGACAAATACAAAAGGCGATTTCATACGATTTGACCTAATAGACACTTCACCCTGCTGTGGTTCAGAATAACTTGGAAGTTGTTTTCTTGTAACCGCATTGAAACACAAGACGAATTTGTCCTCCTAACACCTCAGCGTCTTCAAGGTCGTCAAGGTCAAGGGGAGGCTGCAGTGAGATTAAAAAGCCAGGAGTATTGGAGTTGTGGAGAAATCAAGAAGAGGAGTACTCTTGTCTTTATTTTCGATTTATGAAAGCAACACGTTCTCAGTATTAAAATTCACCTATCACAGAAATATCGTCTAGGAAATAGAAGCCTTCTCTCGCATGACAACCACCGTTCACGGTTTCTGTATAGCCCTCCAGATTTACATGTGTGGACGTGATTTTTTTAATTCTTGTTTTTAAGGAAATAGCATTCTCTAAAACCAAAAATGTGCTATTTTGTAAAGTAGCCATATCAAACGCATGTTTCTAGTTTCGAGAGGCAGAGGCTGAAGGAGAGAGGCGGGTGACATTCCCCCGCAGGAGGCATGGGCCCTCAGTCCGGTTCTGATGAATTCAGTAGGACTTGCAGAGGGTCAGAGACGTGAAGCGCGGGAGGAGCCGAGAGGCAGCACCGAGGACGGGAGGCCTGGCCCGGAGGAGGGTCCAGAGACCAGGGTGGGAAGAGGGGAGGGCGGACGTGAGGAGGCGGTCCTCTCCGCACCCCCGCCCCGCGCCCCCCGTGGGGCCCCTGGGGGGAGCTCGCACACCCGACACCGGTTCCTGATGGGGTCGGGGGTGGGGGGTTGCGGGTGGTGGTTCGGGGCTGGACGGCAGGGCTTTTAAATCTCCCAGAGATGCTGCCGCAGAGCGCGGTGTGGGACCCCCGCCGGCACGCCCCCCGCGGCTCTCCAGGGGCCTGCTCCGTGTCGGGGAGGACATCACTCCTCGGGGACCGCAAAGACGGGAGGGCTCGTCGCGAAGCCCGGGCCGCGAGGGGTGCGCACGCTCCCGGCCATGGGAGGCGGTAGGTTAAACAACTCGGATCCAGAAAGCGTGTCCGCAGCACTGACGACGGCCGGCTGTGTCCGCGCTCCGGCCGGGCCTGTGAGCGCGGCGGCGGGAGGGCGCGGGGCGGGGCCGGGGGAGGCGGGCTCGCGGGATGCGCGTTGAGGCCGGCGCCGCTCTGGGTCCGCGCGGGCCCCACCCGGTTGGGGACAGGCCCGTCCCTGCCGGCCCTCGGCCCTCGGACAGCGACTGGGCCGCTCGCGGCGCCGCCGACGGCGCACTGCGTCTGCGTTTTGGAGGAGGAGGTCCTGGCACGAGGGCAGAGCGCTGCGGCCCCCAGACCGGGGGGATACTGAGGCCGGCGGGGCGGGGCCCCCTGCGCCCGGAGCTCCCTCCCTCCTTCCCTCGCAGCAGCTGCCTGCAGACCTGACGCTGGTCCTCCCCCTGCTGTTGCTGTTTCTGTTTGGGCGGCAATTAACCGAGTTGATGAGCTAATTAGTGGTTGAGACACAGGGCGGGTGTGATGGTAACATTCAGAGCCTGTGAATCTGCTCCATGACACCTGCACGGCTCGGGGGGAAGAAGGGTCCCTGCCCCACCACCAACCAGCTGTGTGACCTTGAACACGTTTCTTAACCTCTCTATGCCTCAATTCTTATTTTCGTCTGTAAAAGAATAAGGTTAATCCCCCACCTGCCCTCACATCAGGTTGTTGGGGTTTCTCTTTATCTCACATCCCCTCCTGGTCTGGCTTTATCAGTTAGGAATGTCACAACATTGCACGAACTGAGGCTTGGGCAGGTAGGATTGGGGCGTCTCGTGAAGCCAGAGCTGATGTGGCAACTCCACAGCAACCGTGGGCGCTCAGGCTCTTTCTGACTCCCCCCCCCCCCCCGGGAAATAGGGTGGGTGGGAGGGAGGGGGTATTAGTCTGGGCTCTCCAGAGGTTATGGGGAATTGGCCCACACAGTCATGGGGGCTGAGGAGACGCAGGACAGCCGAGGGGGGAGTCCCAGTCGGGGTCTGAAGGCAGGGTAGCAAAGACCCCACTCAAAGACCGTCAGGCAGAGAGAGCGAATTCTCCCCTCTGGGCCTGCTGTTCTGTTCAGGCCTTCAGCTGACTGGAGGGGGCCCACCCACGTGGAGGGGGACCGGCTGCTTCACTCAGTGCACCAACCCGCATGCTAATCTCGCCTGGAAACACCATCCCAGGCACACCCTGGATGCTGTCAAACTGACATAGGAAGTGAACTGTCGCAGGACAGAGAGCGTGGGGTGGGACGGGAGGACAGAATGGTATAGACCAAGTGGAATAGGGAAACAACTCCGCAGTGGGCATTCACAAAGGAGGTCAGGGCACAAATGTATTTCTGCTCCGGGGAGGGCTCCCAGTCGGGGGTCTGGGGCGTCCCATCTGAGAGGGAGCAGCCGTTTGGACTCCTCTTCAGACCGAGGTCGTGCGTCTGTTTGGGGCGCTCGAAGCAGCATGTGGCCCCTTGGGTTGTAGGTGTGCGGTGGGCTGGGCGGTGTTTGCACACATGCTGCTCTTCCTAAATCAGAATGTGGTTTTCCTGTCGGCTGGGGCAGCTGCTGGGGGATGAACCCTCTTGCCAGGCTCTGCACACAGAGTGAGCCAAGGGCAGTGGCGTGGGGGCCACAGGAACGGGACGAGGAGGTGTAGAATGGGTGGAATCCCATAGGGAAAAACCCCTTGATTGTTTGTATTCTGCAACGTGCAAGAGAAATGAAACTTGGTGGGAAAGCTGCCTCGTGCCCGAGCTTTGGGGCACCTGACCCCGGGCCGTGCTTCTCTCTGGCCGGCTTCCCCTGGATGAGCCCATGGCGGCCAGGCCTCTGGTGCCCTCGGGCGGGTGTGTCCCGGGGTCTGTGAGTAGGGGTCCGGGCTGCAGGGTGCTTGCCCTTGGCCTCCCGGGGGCTGTTGGGAAGGGCGGAGCCGGGCACCCAGGGCTCCTGGTGTCCCCGCAGGTGTGGCAGTGCGGTGGCAGCATGGAGGTGCTGCCCTGCTCCCGCGTGGCCCACATCGAGCGCACCAGGAAGCCCTACAACAACGACATCGACTACTATGCCAAGCGCAACGCCCTGCGGGCGGCCGAGGTGTGGATGGACGGCTTCAAGTCCCACGTGTACATGGCCTGGAACATCCCCATGACTGTAAGCCGGGCCGGGGCAGGCGGAGGGGTGGCGGGGGATGGAAGTCAGAGCCGGTGGGGGCCCAGGCCCGAGCCGGGCCAGTGTGAATGCCACACCCTGGGGACAGCCTCACCGGTAGTGGGGCCCGTTTGGGAAAGGGCTCTGAATGCCGCCCAGCTGACGTGGTCATGCCCAGTGTTTTTTGGTAGGTGTTTTTCCAAGATGAAAGTCACTGCCAATGGCTGGAAGTGAGGGGTAGCTGCTCCCCTAGCCTAGCTACACATTGTGGTGACCCCTGCACAAGGACCAGTCGGCTCATGTAAACGCATCACACGAACATCTGTTAGCAAGTTCCAAACCAGCAACCTGTGGCCGGGGTGGGGAGGGGTATCCTGGAGAAGTGGGCCTGGGCTGGCAAGTGTGTGCATGTGTACATGTGTGTGTGCGCGCATGTGTGCATGCACGCATGTACATTGTGTGCAGGTGTGTGCATGTACATATATGAGGTGTGTGTGCATGCGCGTGTTTATGCCTGTGCTAAGGAGCTGCCCTTCTGTGGGCCGACATCCAGGCTGCCTGTCCCTCCCAGCCACAGGCTCCGGAACCCGCCTTCGCTCGTGTGTTGCTTCCTGGCCATGGGGCCTCGAGTCTGCAGCCCAGGGTAGTCTGGTCCTGGAAGCGGCTTTTTTTCACATCAGCCCACAGGAAGAGCTAGATCTTGTCCTGACCCAGCACACGCTCGTACGTACGAGTAGGTGTTTACACCTGTCGACATCTGGAGCTCAGATACCTAACGGAAAGCTGCAGAAACACCTTATCATGCGCAATGTGTCCTGACATGTAAACATTCCCCCGGCCGCCTCCTAACCCGGCTCAGCGCCCGCCAGCAGAGCACACCCAGTAAGTTTGGGTGATGCTGCCTGGAGGCCTAGGTTGGACGTCTGCCACACGACCCCTGAGGGTCCACGAGGGTCCCGCCCTCCTTCCCTCGGGCTCCCATGCATGTCCAGACAGACGGACGCGGAGGTGTGGAGGCGTGCGCTCGTGTGTTAGAGACGAGTGGAGGGCACACCGTCTCTCGTAGAGACTTGCTTTCCATAAAGTGAACTCACTCGGAAAACGTGCGACATGGTGGTGCCCTGTTGACACTTGAAAGGGAACTTTGGGCGTCATGGCTGCGCGGCTGTGAGCTCTGAGCTGGGAAATGCCCCACACAGCCTGCCTGCTATCAGGGCCTCCCAGAGCCCTCCACACCTCCAGACTCCCCGGGTCCCCACACAGGGGCTTCTCCTGGGATTGTCACCACCATGCAGATGGGGAAACTAAGGCACAGAGGGACTTTCCGAAGGCTACACATGCCCAAGTCTGCCCTTCACACCAGCCTCGGCTGTCGGTCCTTAGCTGATGTCGGGGCCTTGGGGGAGGAGCTTCCGCAAACCCCCTCACACCCCCAGAGGGCTGGCTGCCCCCAGAGTGTCTGGCCCAGACCAGCCTCAGCTCAGCGATTGGCTGGAAGGACTCAGAGCTCAGAAAAGCTGTTATATTCAGGGTTATGGTTTATTCCAGTGAAACAATAGATCCCACAGTAGTCATAGCAACGCCGGGGGACAACACATGGTGTATCGTCAACCAGGCCTCAGTGTCCGCTCTTCACGAGGCTCCTCCACATGCACATGGCTGACCTCCCTCAGGGCCGACCATCGTCGCCAGCACCTTCAGGAGTCACGCGGCTATTCCCCGGCCCAAAGCCCCCATAGGTCGCCCTGTGGCTCAGGTCTCAGGTAGACAACACTCCACTCAGGCAGGTTGTTCCCAGGGCGTGGAGTCACCTCCCAGGAGCTGGGCCAGGCCGGTCTTTTCTTTGGAGTGTGTGGGGTGTGGACAAGCTAGGACACAGCCAGTGGCCACGTGCCAGGCTTGGCTCGTGTCCAGGAGGACCTGCTGCGAAGTCGGCAGTGGGGAAGCCAGGCCTTTCCCATCCGGAACAGCTGCCCTGAGCCTTCTAGAGTCCTGGGAGGGCCAGAGGCGGCCCCTGGACGGGGCTCAGCACCTTGCAGCCCTGGGGGATGCCGCTCCTGTGAGGGGGGCCCCACGCCCGGGAGCTCCCCATCACGGCGGAGCCCGAACGTGGGGACTCAGGCGCCTTCCCACCCCGCAGAACCCAGGCGTGGACTTCGGGGACGTGTCGGAGCGGCTGGCCCTGCGCCAGCGGCTGAAGTGCCGAAGCTTCAAATGGTACCTGGAGAACGTGTACCCGGAAATGAGGACCTACAACAACACCCTCACGTACGGAGAGGTACCGCCTCCACCCGCTGGCCCCATTCCCCCCTCTGACGCTCCTGCCCGTGCCCCTCCCCCCAGCGTTCCCCACCCTGACGCCCCAACGTTCCTGTGTCCTGACACCCGACGTTCCCCGGCTCTGTGCCCCACAGCCCCATAACCCACACCCTCACCTGTATGCATGCATCTGCTCGTGGACATCAGACAGCAGAGTGCACAGCCACATTCACACATACACGGCACGTACCACTGTTCAGAGTCCACACAAAGGCACACATACATGTGCATACAAAAGTACACACAAGCAGATTCAGAGACGTGTGTGTATATATACACATTTATGTGCATGTGTATACATGCATGCACACGTGTTTATATACAATGCGTGCGTGTTAATTCATGCAAACACTCATGTGTGTATAAGTACACAGACATGAACATGGACATTTGCACAGCATTTTGCTCACGTGCACACAGAGCAACCCATCCATCTTCGCCTGTGTGCACAAACGCCAGCCAAAGGTACCCGCCCGTGCACAGCACGAATGTCAGTGGACGTGCGTGCATGCACACGGAGTATACACATTGATGCATTCACATTACACAGCCATGTTCACATGCCATGGTGCCTGCAGATAAGTGCACAATACAAGGACACACACAGACAGACTCACGTCTGCACCAGCTCCCGTGTGCACGGCCACACACGCGGCTCTCCTCAGAGCCAGCGCCAGGGCCCTGCGTTCTGCCCTCTCACCCTGGCCTGTGCTGGTGGTGGAGAGGTCGGCCCCCTCATGGCCGTCAGCTGCGCCAGAAACCCCAGGCCCTGTGTGGAAGGAATGCGTGCCCTCTGGCCCTGGGCTAGCGCTCCGGCTGGGGCAGGGGAAGGGGAGCCGAGGTGGGCAGTCCTAGCTGGCCTGTGCATTCCTGGAGCTCGCAATCCACCCCAAGCCAGACTGCAACCCCTCTGGGCACAGAGGTTTCCCAGCTGGCCTGGAGCATCCTTAATGCATCCGTGGTGTGGGCGGGAGACCGCTGTCCTCCCAGCCCCTCCAGGGCTTCCGCCCTAGCCACATCTGACCATGATGGGTCACAGCCACACATGCCTACCCACAGAAGCTGCTCATTAGGAACTGAGCTGGACGTCCGAGTTCAGGCCTGTTCCCCTCCTGGGGCGGCAGTGCTGTCAGTGAGCTGGGGCGCAGAACGAGCCGCCCTGAAGCGCAGCAGGCCGAGGCGGGCGTCCAGCTTACTGGCCAGTCTAGGGGTCATCCGGGCTGAGCTGACCTCGGCTGGGCCTGGTCATGTGTCTGGTCTGCCGCCAGGTCTCTGGGGACGGCTCATGCGCAGACCTGGTGCATCTCTCCTCCAGCAGACAGCAGCTTGTTCTCACGGGGGCGTCAGGGTTCCAAGACAGAGTGGGGGCTGCCAGCATCCTGAGGCTCAGAGCCGTGCAGACACTCCTGCTGGTTTCTGTCCGCTGTGCCCAGACTCGGGGACCGAGGAGCAGCCTCCGCCTCATGACGAGGGAGCTGTGGACTCACACCCTTCAGAAGGGGTGACAACGCAGGGAGGCCATTCAGGGGGCAGCTGGGCGGTTCAGGCCGCCCTCCCTGTGTCCAAGGCTAGCACTGCGGAGGGATGGCCAGCTCTCCAAACATACACAGGGGCACGTCTGTCTGTCTCCTCCAGTGACAAGCATGGTCATCCCTTCCCAGGAGCCCAGCCAGCCCCTCCCCAGCCAGCCCACCCCCAACCCGCTCCTCCCATCTCCACGCCCAGGGCAGACCCCAAGCCCCGGGGGGGAGGGGGGTCTCATCCTGGGAGGACCATCAGGGGGCGTCAGGCTCACACCATCCTAAGACAGCTGGCCGCAGAGCAGCCCCCTCTGCCCTGAGAGGCAGCGGGGTGGGTAAAGCCCCCTCTGGCCTTGACTCAGGCCTCCGGGACCCTCCTTGATGGGGTTTCTCCTTTGGTTTCTGGTCCGTAGGTGAGAAACAGCAAAGCCAGCGGCTACTGCTTGGACCAGGGAGCAGAAGACGACGACCGAGCGATCCTCTACCCCTGCCACGGGATGTCCTCCCAGGTAGGAGCAGTGGCTGCCCCCCTGTGATGCCCCCCGAGGGATGGCAGCCCCCCAACCACGTGTGGGAGTGGGTCCTCGAGGGGCCGGAGCACGGCAGGCCTGCTGGGGGTCCTGACGTCACAGCACTGAGTCTGGGCACTCGGGGGCCACGTGGGCCCCTCCAGGAGTCGCCCCCCTTGGGTTAATAGCATCGAGGGCTCTAGTGGCAAAGGCACCTTGGGTGACTCCCTTGCAGTCCCCAGCCTCGGGCTCCCCTCCATCGGGTGGGATAATGAAGGTGCTTCCTTCTCGGGGCTGTTGTGTGGACCAAAGTGGGAATGTGTGTAAAGCGCTTGCCACAGTGTGGGTGTGAGCTCGGAGGCACACTGACATTCTAGTTTTACCAGCAGAGCCCTCGCAGGTGCTCTTCAGTCTGGGCTCCAGCTTTGAATATGTGCCTACGGATGCCCGACCCCGGGCGGCGGGGCCAGACGGTGCAGGGACGGGTGCGTTCTCAGAGCTCTGGGCGATGCGGACACGCGGGACCCTGCTGAGGAGCCTGATGCTCTGATCCCAAGCGGATCCTCCTGCTTGTGAGGGCGCTGCTTCGTTTTAATGGGTGTCAGGTAGTATTTAAATTAAACCCCAGGCGTGTGCTTTCCTGGAAATGGCCCTCGGCCTCCCTCAAAGTGCTCCCTGAATCTGAGCCGCTCAGGGACTTCCATCAGGCAGGACCCAAGCCCAGGGCATCGAGACGCTGACACGTCCACACAGCCCGGCCGGGGGCTAACGGCCTGTGACACCTAGCGGAGAGTGCGCTGCTCGCCCGTGCCCACCTCCTGCAGCCTCGTGGTGGGACCCTCGCTGGCCTCCCCAGCAGCTGCCAGCCTGGTGGCCCTGGACTGAGAGCAAACGGAACCTCATCGAGATGCAGATGTGGCTCCTGGAGAAATCCAACACTGGGCCCGTCAGACACAGTGATGATTCTCTGGCTGGCACCGTCTTCTCAGACCCGAGGTGGGAGGCCACGTCCTGTTGGGGGGTCTCTGGACCCCCCGCTCCTCTCCACCCTGAGAAGAGGAGAGACAACAGGGTTATTTCCCATCAAGTCAGCTGTGTGAGGAGACGCCGCGACATCTGCACCTCTGCAGCTGGAGGGGCAGCGTGAGGAGCCTCAGAGGTGTGCAGGGCAGGGATCCGTGTGGCAGGGGAGTGTGGGTGTTCAAGGACACCACTGCGACACCCACAGGGAGCCCTACCAAGAGAGCATGCTGGGGCGGCCAGCAGAAGTGGCCTTCGCCACAGCTGGAAACGAGGTGGTGATGGAAGCAAGATGGGAGGGAGAGGGCCTGGCCCAGCTGACCGGATCCCACGGAGAGGTCAGATGGACCCCTGCCCCCCTCCAGGCAGGACATGCCTGCCAGTGGTCCCCTCTTTGCAAATGGACCTCAGTGTGTTGGGTCACTCACGCTCCTGGGCCTCTGTGGAGGCTGCCGAAACATTACTAGCTACGTCCCCAAACCCCGATGCCCACTGTGTCAGTGTCCCGTGAACAGTGGATATTTATTCACTCAGTTCTGGAGGCTGGAAATCTGAAATCCAGGTGTCGCAGGTCCACGCTCCCTCCCAAGGCTCCACAGGAGGTGCCTTCCTGCTGGGTCCAGCTCCTGGTGGCCCCAGGTGTCCTCGGCTCACGGCCGTATCACTTCTGCCTCTGGTCTCCCTCCTGGGTGCGTCTGAGTCTCCACCTGGCCTTCTCCTTGCATCTCCACTGTCCCTCCTTATGAGGACTCCAGTGATGTTGGATGAGGGCCACCCTAACCAGGGCGACCGTGTCTCACTTTGATCACATCTTCAACGACCCTACTTCCAGATAAGGTCACATCCACAGGTCCTTTTGGGGGACATGATTCAACCCATAACAACAGCTGTAATGAAAGTCAACCTCAGACCAGACTGAGCCACATGTATGGATGGTAAGGAAGAATTCCTCAGCAAGCAGGACAACCCCGTGCACACGACCACTCTGCACGCTCGGGGAGGCCCTGGCCCTCTGTCCACCGAGGTGGCCCGACCATCTTTACATGAAAGGGGACAGGCAGCGAGTCCTCCAATGCGTCAGCAGCGGGAGCCCCCAACCCAGGGCTCCACGCAGCTCGGCCTCCAGTCACTGTGGATGCACTCCCTGTCCGTCAGTTTATTGTGAGAACTCTCAAACATACAGAAAAGTAGAAAAGTCGGATGTGACCAAACACACACGCATCATCCTTTCAGGGGTCAGCAAAGTACAACCTGTGGGCCAAATAAAGGTTTTTATACTTTCTAAGGTTTGTAGGGGAGAAAAGAAGAAAAAGAATGAATAATGTACGACAGTATCCACCAAGCTCGGGGCCCTCGGCTCCTGATCCAGACGCAACGTTGGTCAGATTTGGCCATTTTGCGTCGTCTGTTTTTGTCTGGATCATTTTAAAGCAAGTTGCAGACATCATCCCCTTCCACCTCTACGTATCTCAGAACGCATCTCTGAAAAGTAGGGAGGCTCCTAAACCCACAGGAATTCCCGGAAGTCCTCTGATGACGGCCGACCAGCTCCCCTTTCTCAGTGGCCCGCCCGCCTCTCCTCCCCGGCATGTCTGAGGAGGGCCGCGATGGAGTCCGTGGGCCAGAATCACGGGGCCGGAGGCTCCTCCTTAGCTCTGAGCAGCCTCCCGACCAGGACCTCCTGCTGGCCGGGGCCCAGCGGGCAGAGGGACAGGCCAGTGGACTTGCCGACTCTGCCAGCTCCTCCTGAGCGCAGCCGGGCCGCTTCTGTCAGACAGGACTCTGATCGAGATTCCTGGCCCCCCAGGCCCCTCCCACAACCCCCCCCCCCCCCCCCGGGCAGAGTCAACATGCCATCGATGCCGACTCTTGGCCGTGAGGTTGAATCTGCCCGGAGTGTGGGGGGCCGTAGGCCCCGGGGGCTTTGGTTTGGAGTTTGTGCTGGACATTCGATGGGCTGTGGACCTCAGATTGCAAACGTCCTTGACCTCCGAAAGTTACCGGAGAAGAACATGAGCACGTCAGTGACCATCGGCCCCCAGACCGAGCTGGCTGAGGCAGCCGCAGTCTTCACTCGCTCACGAATCTGTGGCCTGGGCACGGTCAGCAGGACCAGCCCTCTCCACTCTGTGAGCACCAGCTCGGGCCATCCACCAGGCTAGGGGACCCCCTCCGAGCCGACACACTCACCTGGGTGGCTGTCAGGGGCCTCGAACCCCCACCACGTGGCCTTTCCCCAGCCACTCGGGACTCCTCACCGGGAGGAATCATGACCAAACGGTCGTCCAGCCTCAGAAGCCAGAGAGCGCTGCCTCTGAGACGTTCATACGTTCCCAGAAGGACTCTAGGGGAAAGTAGAGACCCCCCACCCTTAACGGGGGTCAGTCACAGAGTCGCACAAACACTCAGGGTGGGAGTGGCTGCTGTTCACCTTCCTGCAAGACTGTGCTGGAAACTGCAGCCTTCTGGAAAGAGTGAACAACTTGTCCAAGCAAGGCATGCGTGTGCGCACGTGTGCCTGCGTGTGTGTGTGTGTGTGCGCGCGCGTGAGCTCGTACATGAGAGAAAAAGAGGAAGTGGGGGGATGGGGGAGAGAAAGGAGAGCGGGGCCCTTACAGATAGCGACCCGCTGTTTGCTGAGCGCTCGCTCCCTTCTTAAGCCCTTTACTCATGGTGTCCGTCGGATCCTCACAATAGCCCTATGCCCAGGTACTGTCACAGTCTCCCGCTTACACATAGGAGACCGAGGCACAGAGAGGGGACGTGACTTGCCCGTGGTCAGCCAGCTGAGGAGGGGTAGGAATCCAGTGTTGGTTTCCGTTGTGAGTGTGTAGTTGTCGCTCACCTGGTGTTTGCAAACAACATGACCAGGACCAGGGTGAGCGTGACCTTGGGGCCACCCTTCCTATGGAAATGAAGGTTCACCTCCTGGTTCAAGGGCAGATGGGGCGACCTGGGGCATGTGTGACACTGTCTCCCTTGTGCATCTGTGCCCACGGGGCGGGTCCGAGCACGGTTCTGGAGGAGTCCCAGGAGCCCAGCTGGGAGGGGCGGGTGGGTGAGCAGGGCCGTGGGGAAGGCCGAGGCTGGGTGGCCGTCCGTGGGCCTGGCGCCTCCCCAGGAGAGCCGACTCTGGGTGAGGGCTGGCACAGCGGGACACCCTCCGTCCTCGGCCCGCACGGCTCACGCGGCGCCCTCCGCAGCTGGTGCGGTACAGCGCCGACGGCCTGCTGCAGCTCGGGCCCCTGGGCTCCACTGCCTTCCTGCCGGACTCCAAGTGCCTGGTGGACGACGGCAGGGGCCGCGCGCCCGCCCTGAGGAAGTGCGAGGATGTGGCCCGGCCGGCGCAGCGGCTGTGGGACTTCACCCAGGTCAGCGGGGCAGAGAGCCAGCCCGGGCTGTAGGGGGACAGTGGTGGGGAAGAGGGGGTGCCAGGATCAGCCGCTCCCACGGGAACCCCAGCTCACAGGGGCTGAGTGACATGCCCAGGTCACAAGACCGGGGAGGGGCCGACCGGCTGGTCACAGCACTACGGCGGCCCCTTCATCCGGAGCCCCCACTCAGCCTCAGCTGCTGGTCTCCTGGGGCCAGACTGGAATTGCTGGGATCTGCTGCAGTCAGCCCCCTGGGCCCTGTGGGGCTGTTGGGATGCTGGGGTCGAATCCTGAGCCCCAAGAACAAGCACTTAAGCAGCATGTTCAAGGATGGCCTCCCTGCCTGGTGGGAGCAGCCCCTGGACACCCTGTGCCCCCTCCAGCCCACATGCCTCGGGAGCTCTGGCCACTCCCACCAGGCTTCCCTCCCTCCCTCCCTCACAATAACGTCGCTCGCTGGAACGTTGCCTGGAGGTGAACAGCATACACATTGATGTGCATGGCTGGCTGGAGGAGCAGGGCACATGGCCGCCCCCCAGGGCTCCAGGGCCATTCCTCACACCCCGCCTGGCTGACCCCATGGGCCTCCTGTGAACGGAGTCCTGCGGCTGCACTTCTGTCTCCTGGCTTCCTCCTCGTTAGGTTGGGCTCATTTGACTTGTTCCCTTTGCTGCCCTCCTGCCTCCACTGTCCTCCTCGGTTCCCCCTGGGCTCCCCCTGGGCAGGCGCCCAGCTTCCTCCTCTCCTGACACCCTCCTGTCTCTGTATCCAGCCCAAACGTCTCTGAGCTTCACACCCATCCATCCAAATACCACACAGGCTTCTCCGGGGCGTCCCAAGGTCGCCTCCATCTCAGCGTGTCCTCTGTGGAATTGGCCTCGGTGTCTCCATCCAGGTCAGGCTGTCACTTGCTGGGGTCTGACCTTCACAGGCCCCCCCAACCCCACCCCCACTCCAGCCCTGCCCCAGTCCCTCTTGCCTGCAGCAGCACCCCAACCTTCTCCCTAAACCCACTCATGTCCCAAATCCCCCAGAACAGACGACCACAAGCTGAGTAGCTTAAAACTACAGACATTTATTCTCTCACCACCTGGAGGCCAGAAGTCCCAACGCAAAGTATCCTCCGAGGCTCGTGGGGCGGGCCCTTCCTGCCTCTCCCAGCCCTGGTGTTGCCTGCTGTGTCCTTGGCTTGTGGCCCGTCCCTCCCAACTCTGGCTTGGTCATCCTTTCTCTGTGTCTCAGGATCCCTCCGTCCTTAGGAGGACATGGGCATTGGATCAGGGCCCACCTCCTCCAGCATGACCTCCTTTCTGTGAATTACATCTGCAAAGACTTTGTTTCCAGTGCAACCACCGCCAGGCGCTGGGCGTTAGGCCCTCGGTGCCTCTGACCCGTCTTCCTAGGACACTCTGCCCGTGTACTCCCGGCTCTGACGCTCTTGGGCAGTCTACCACCATGTGCGGGATCAAATCCCACTCCTGAGCATGGTCTCTCCACCCCCGGCGTCCCCAGCCATCCCTCCCCGCCCCCCAATGCCCGCAGCTCCGCCAGCCCGCTGCTCTCCTGCTCCTTGGGCAGTAGGTGTCTCCCAGGAGCCAGTCCTGATCTCGGCCCCACCTCATGCCCCCGAAGACCTCTGTCATGGCTCCCACAGAGAAGCCCCCATGACAGGTAAACGCACAACACCGTCTGGGGGCTTCTGGTCACAGGAGAGGCTGCAGGAACGAGTGTCACAGTGTCAAGCGGAGCCCACAAGGGTTGGAGGTCCCTGAGAGGCCGGTTCTGGGGCCTGGGCGACGAGAGCCAGACTGCAGGAGGACACATGGGATACAATCCTGGGGTCCTTGGGCATGGGCCGGGGCCTCAATGTTTGGAGGACCAGAGGGCCTGGAGGGGTGACCAACGGGCACATGGGACACACCAGGGGTCAGGGAGGCACCTTGGGGGAAACGCCCTCTCAAGGGCCCTGGACTCCACTGTCCTGGTCCCTCCTCAGACCCTGGGAGCAGGGCAGGCAGGTAGAGTAGCTAATGGGGTGGGGGTGTGCGGGGATGTCAGAAGACAGAGGGCCGAGGGGACAGAGGGATGCTCTTGGGAAGGGAGGCTTGGGCACCTGTGCTCACTTGGTTTCCCTCCCCACAGAGCGGCCCCATCGTGAGCCGAGACACGGGCAGGTGCCTGGAGGTGGAGATGTCCAAGGACGCCAACTTCGGGCTGCGGCTGGTGGTGCAGAGGTGCTCGGGGCAGAAGTGGACCATCAGAAACTGGATCAAGCACGGGCGGCACTGACCCCCGGCCTCACCCTGTGCCCTCCCCCACGCGGACCCTGAGGACCTGGGGGAGGCGTCGTGCCCCTTCCCACCCACCCAGCACCGGAACCCAAGGGCCCTGGCCTTGCCCGCACCATCTCAGGCCCGGACCTCTCCTCGGGCCTGTCGCCCAGGACTGCGGGGCCTCCCTGTGTGTCTGGAGGCAGATGCCAGGAATAGGCTACCCCACCAAGAGCGAGGACCCTCCTCGGCTGGGCAGCTTTGCCTGAGCACAGCAGCTGACCGCCAGCTCCAGCCCCCAATCATGTGCCTTTTCTACGGTATTTCTGTCCAGCTGCCCGGACGGCCACCTCTTCTGCATGTGCTGAAGCCCCTGTACATACCCCCACGCAGACGTCATGTCACCCCTGTGAGCCCAGAGGGCGGCCGAGCGCCCGCCCGTCTTCTCGGGACAGAACCGTCACCTCCTGGGGCTCCCCACGGCCTCCCGAAGCTCCGCCTTCCTGTGATCTCAGAACTCAGGCAGAGCCGAGCCCTCTCCGCGCAAGTGAGAGGGGAGAAGGGAGACGTCAGTGTGGTGTCCTCATGACGAGCCAGGGCCATGAGCAGGTGAGGAGATGACAGAACCGCTTCCATCCAGTACAGAGCGGGTGGGGATCCCTGTTCCAGCCTCCCGCCCGGGCCAGGCGCCTCCTCGTGTTGCTCTCAGGCAGGAGCCTGTTAGCAAACGAGCACCCAGGCTCCTCGCCTGTTTTTATAAATAAAGTTTTATTGGCACACGGCCACGCCCATCTGTGTATGTATTGTCCCTGACGTCGGCTCCAGGGGACACCTGGAGCTGAGAAGGAGCACCCCCAGAGCTGTCCTAGGGCCTCCAAGATGCGTCTCTGAGCAGGACGGGACCTGATGGTTGCTGTGCAAATTGCAGGACACGGGGAGAGAAGCTGGGCGGAAGGTTCTGCCCTCCCCTCTCCCCCACCAGGCCCAGTGCCCAGCGGCACCCAATACTAGCTGCTCCTCCCTCCTGCCCGGCAGTGGACGGCCTCAGGCGTCCAGGGGCGCGGGACCCCAGGGCAGGCTTGGCACACCTGGCAGTGGGAATGGACAGCAGATAGGATGACAAGCACCCACAAACCAGACCACCCAGCTCTTCCCACACACGGGGTCTCCAACACCCTTTGGTGGTCTCCTGGGGCAGAAATTGTGGGTGCCGTGGGAAACTTCCAGGCTTCTCCCCATTCTTGCAGAGTAACCTGGAACGCAGGCTGGCAGGGTTTCTAGACAACAGGCCTCGAGCAGGGGCCGCAGATCTTACCTGTTCTCCGCTTGCTGCGACCAGGGCCCACCCCTCGGAGAGGACAGGGAGCCGCTGCCTTTCTAAGGACAGCTGCCAGTCACTCATGCCAGTGGGTATCTTCCTGGGAGAGGAGGAGTCCTTCCTGGTGGTGCTGGGGATCTCCGATCCGTGGGGAGTTTTCTTGAAGGTCAGCCCCCGGGGAGGTGAGCAAGCAGCACATGCCGTGCGACTAGGGGTCTGGGCAGTGGGGGCTCTGACCTGCCCTTGGGGTTGGGGGACATGCTGGTGAGGCGTCCATGGGTGTCGGCCTGGGGAGACGCGATGAGTCTGCACTTCACTGTCCACCCCAGGCTGGTGCCCTGCCCACTGGACACCCATCCCCCAGGACCTCCTCCTCCTCTTCTCCTTCCCTGGGGACCCTGACCCCCCATTGCTCCAGGTCTGTGCCTCCTGCTGCTGAGAGAAGCTCTGAAGGGTCCAGTTTCTCCCTGCTCAGCAGAGAATTCTGCCGGCTCCAACCCAAGCCCCAGAAAAGCACTTGCTCTAGCCCACATCTTCCCCACATTTAAGACGATGGTGGTGGGCAGTCAGCCGCTTGTGGGTCCACGAGCATCCGGATGTTTCTCCAGGGATGCGCAGCAGCCGTCAGCACGCCATGCACCGCCCGTGGTTACGGCAGATGTTGTCACAAGCTCAACTTTCGAAGCGTATGTGTCACAATTCATCAGGTTGCCAGTTGCGTCGCAGTCGGCCGTTTGTAGCCCACAGGGGATCTCACAGAAAAGCTCACGCCTGGAAAAGTTCTTCTCAGCATCTCACCAAACCTCCCATCCTCTTGGTTCACGGTACGTCCCCGTGTTCGAAGGCCTGCTGTCCGTCAGGATCAGCTGGCCCCCTGCTCCTGCCCCGGCACCAGGACCCAGGAGGACGGGGCAGCTGGCGGGGCACCGAGCTGGTCCACAGGTAGCAGGACGGGGCGGGTCAGCCAGGGCGGAGGTGCTGTCCACACTCTGGTGTGAGGCTCTTGGTTTATCAAAACTGAGATGGAACAAAATGCCTTCTTCATAAAACATGATCGTGGAGCTCACTTCCTTTTATTCACTTTGGTCCCGACCTGCCTCTTGGGCAGCCATGCCCCTCTTGGAGCCTGCCCTTCTCTAGAAGAACTGCCCGAGAGTCCTGGGGTCACTCAGTGCAGAGCGCACCCCCAAATACCAGCTGAAGGAGAGCTGCTCATGGACCACGACACCCAGCGCTGCCACTGCAGCTCCCGGCCACACGCGGCGCTGTGGAGATGCTCCCTGCACGGCTTTGCGGTTGACACTTGGCCGCAGCTGGCGGGCCCGTCCCTGCTGGTCTGGATCCCCGCCTGCACCCCAGACACGCCCTTGCTGGGGCTGAGTTCACAGGTCTTTCTAATTCACAGTGACACACCCTTCCGTTGATCCATCACCATAATCCCGGGTTCAGAACAAACTCTAACGCCATCCACGGACTGGGCTGAAGCCAACCCAGTCCCCCGAAGCCTCTGACCCTGTGTCCACACTTCTTTCCCCTTAAGGCCAAATAATTGCTCTTCTTTACCTGTTCTTTAACCACTGGTCTGAGGCTGAGGCCACCCCGACTGTACCAGGAGGGTCCCATCCATCAAACAAGGGGATTTATTGTGGGGGGGCAGATTAGGCACACCCTGGAAGGGCTGAGCCTCTGAACAGGGACACCGCGGCATCCAGGGCCTCATCCTGCACTGGCCAGAGGGACCCAGGGGAAGGCGGTGTTACTGGAGGCCGGGAGCGGGGGCCGCTTGTGGGGATGGGACTACAGAAGAAGCATTGGAAGCAACAAGCCCCACCAGGAATGCCCTGAAGGTGGAGACATGAAGGGAAAACAGCCTGGTTGCTCTCCAGCCCCCAGTTGTCCACCAGCGTCTCCTCCGGCCGAGCCTGGAACTAAAGGACGAGGAACCACAGGAGATGCTGCTCACGGCGTCGCAGAGCAGGGAGTGCAGGCGGGAAGTGGGTCTGGGAGCCAAGCGGCAGGTGCGCCCACGGGTCATCACCATGGGACAACGGGATTTCCTGACTGACAAGCTGGAGCAAGGTTGGAGGTCACCCTTCCCTCCAGGGGCCCCAAGAGCAGGATTTTCCGTCCAGTGCAGGCTGACATCCCCACACCCAGGGCCAAGCTGGGTGCTGGGGTCTCACGGAAGGGCACCCACGATGGGACCAGGCATGCTTCTGGCACACCCAGGGCTGTCCACGGCTGGACCACACCAGCTTGCAGCAGGAGCCAAGTTTTACATTTTCAGGAACTTTGTGAACCAGTTGTGAAACACAGCTATTACTAAAAATAAATTACATGAACTTACAACTAAATAAGTTATATTAAAAACAAAGGTAATAAATACTCAATGCCCACCGGCTCCCAGTGATCGGCTCTATTTTGTTACTTCTATGCCCTGAGATTACTCGTGGCTGTCACACCTGTGGTGGGTGGTGGCTGCGCCCCTGCGTCCCTTCCCGGCTCTGTGTTCCGAGCTGGCAGCCTGGCAGCCTGAATTGTCCGAGGTGGAAATATTCATAAACGGGCGTGGACCACACTACACACTGGGCTGAGCTTTACAGAGAGCCGGTCGTGGGACGCTGACCAGCACACCGCTGCTCTCGCTCTCCCAGAAATCCCGGACGATGAGCCTCCTCTCCGCGTCGTGAACGTGACCGAAAAGGGACACACGAGTGGTCCTGTGAGAACAGAGACGGTCAGCTGCCCCCCGGTTTCCTGTCCCACCTGCTTGGGAAAGTGCCGGCAACCATCCTCACAGGAAGGAGAAGGAGGAGGGAGAAACGTGCTGAGAACGCGACGTCTTAATCCCCCTTAATTCTTGGAATAACCCTAAGTGGTCCTGAGGACTTCTGTGCCCCCTTTCCGGGTGGGGGGCAGAGGCTGGGGGTGGACACGAGGCAGGTCAGGGCTCAGACTTGGGTCTGCTTGACCCCAAACTTCCTCCTTCCGCTCGGCCTGCCGCCCAGTGTCTTTTCCTTTTTCAGCAGCAGTGATCTTTTAAATGGCAGAGATTCAAGCAAATAGAATTTAGTAAAACTTAATAACAGGCCCACTTCTTTCATTAGTTCAATTATGAATTGGGTCTGAAGCAAAATCAGAAAAACCCACGCCGTTTGTTTAAAATGGCTCGTGGGTAACAAACCTAACAGCCGTGCTCTGGGAGAGGCTGTGAATAGGCAGATGCTTCCGATGAAAACAGCAAACCTGCAGAGGTTTCCTCTTTCCTCTGCTCCTGATAGAGATAATGGGCATCGGAATTTAATTTTGTCAAATAAAAGGGCTCCTCGCTCCAATGAATCTTGGTTCCGGCTCAGACTGTCTGAGGGAGGGGAACCTGAGGTGGGATTTGGCCCAGGGAGCGGGGTCCTCAGGAGACAGCAGGAGCGGGGCATCCCCCAGCTCCTGGTTCAGGTGGGAGAGGCAGCCCCCCTGGGCCCCAGGCCGAAGGCACGCCTGCCAGGGTGGTCAGGGACCCAGCAGACACGAGGGTGGAGAGTCTCTGAGAATCCGGGACAAGGCCTACTTGCAGCAAGAGCCCCGGAGCTGAGGGAGGGGCTGGCCCGGAAGAGGAAACGGGACGAGGGGCACTGGGGTCTGAAGTCCCCTCCCTGGTCCTGGCGCCCGGCCTGTCCTGGGGTCTCTGGCCCAACTGCAGGCACAGAGGGGTGCGGGGGTCGTGGTTTCAGCCTCCAGGGCGTTCTGGGCCTTAGTAGGTTTCAGGGCTGAGCCCTCGGCCTGGCATATTCAGTCAGGGAGTGCGGGGTCGGGTGGACAGGAGCCCGGACAGGAGCACAGCATCCTTGCCTCACCGCCATTCCCACACCAGAAGGGCCCAGCGTCACTTAACCCTTGCCTGAGATTCCTAATCATGTGTGAACAAGGAGGCCGCAGGTTGTGTGGAGGTCCTGCCCCCTGCCCACGGCACCCCGAAGCCTGTCCTGGGCCCTCCCGGCAGGAGAAGGGACACGGCCTGCTGGTCCTCTGTTCACGCTCTCAGGTGCTCACTCCCTCAGCACGTTGTTCCGAGCACAGCGGCGGCAGGAGGCAGGAGTGGGGCCTGGTGGGCCGCTGGCGGGCAGGCACTGAGTTAGCACCGGCTGTGTGCGGCCTCGCGGAGCCCGGCTGCTCTGTGGATCCCTGCACCTCACCCCCCGAGGAACTACTGTTCTCTGAAGTCGTCAAAGTTCTCCAGGAGAAACTGGCTCTGTTATGTGGCTCCAGATGACTGTTGGCTGTCCCCCCCCCCCCCACCCCGGCGTTCTGGAAGCTCAAGAAGTTTCCCTGGGAGGGGACCCGGGAGCGCCCCTGAGGTTTGGAAAAGGAACGCCCTCCCTCCCCAGGTTCCCCTGGTGGGTCCCTGACCGTCACCATCACCATGGTCTGCCCTTCAGCCTCAGACGCTGCTGCTCTGCCACAGCGTCGCTGACGGGAGATGAGCGGCTGTGTGGAAAACACCAGAGGAAAATCAACAGCTCGCCTGTGAAAGCACGTATGTCTCTGTGGTTGGCGGCAGAGGACACGCAGGGTCACAGGCCAGGGGATGCCTCAGGCAGAGGGGCCCCATCCTACCCGCCCCTCCACCCCGGGCAGGCAAGGATGGCCACGGGCATGCTTGTCTTGGGGCTCCGAGGAAGAGTCTCCTTCTGCTTCAAGGTGTCGGGTCTCCCACAGGGAACGGGGTGACTCAGGGCCACAGGGCACAGAGCCGGGGTCTCTGCGGACGCAGGGCAGGTCACGCGGACAGTAAGGGGTGTTGTCTCCACTCACAGTGGCCCTTGGCCCCTGAGGAGGGGACCCCAAGAGACTCCTTCCAGGCCCCCCACCGCTGGCCCTGAGAGACTCGCAGACCTCCGGGCGGGCCGTCGCCAAGCTCCGGGAGGCCCATCTCCCAGCTGCCTGCCACTTCCAAGTCACCATCCACACGACACTCGTAGGCCGCTGGGGGCATCCTGTCTGCTGTTCAGCCTCGACCTGGGCACCAGCCACCCGGCTTCCTACCACCTCCCACCAAAGCCTTCACTGCTCTGGTGCCGACCTAGAGCCTGGGAAGCCTCGGGCGCTGAACCGCCAACCAACCGTTGGCAGGCAGTGTGGGGCCCTCAGCGGGCACATCCCTGCGCCCAGGTCAGCCTGAGAGCCGCCGCACATGCCGTCCTGCCTCACCCACCTGGGACCCCGACCCTGGGCTGCCCGCCCTTCGGGACAAGTGGTCCTGACTCATAGGCCCTCCCGGATCAGGGTCCTGGGGCTGCCGTGACAGAGAACCACGCAGTGGGGGCCTAAAACAGCAGGATGGTCTCCTCTCACGGTCTGAAGCCTGGAAGTCCAGACGCGAGCTGTCGCAGGATTCTGCTACCTCGTCCAGCCTCTGGGGGCCGCCGGCGTCCTTGGTGTCCCCTGGCCTGTAGACACATCCCCCGTCTCTGCCTCCATCACCCCCTGACCTGTCGTGTCTCTGAGTCCCTCTTCCCCCTTCTCACGAGGGCTCCAGCCATGGAAGGAGGCCCCCTGCCGGCTCCACCAGAGTCAGAAACCGTCCTTGGGAACTGGGTCTCACACCTGGCCCATGCCGGCGACCCTCCCTCCCCTAGGGTCCCAGGGATGTGGCTGGAATCCAGCCTGGTGCCTGAGCACACCCCTCCCGGGAGCCGACAAAGAATGGCCTGTCCCAGCTGGTCGAGGAGTGGGGAGGACGGGAGGGGCTGCCCTCCCCACAGTGGCTGGAAGGCCACCAAGGCGGGGCTCCCTCTGCAGGGCAAACGCCACGCAGAGCGGCAGGGGTGTGGCTGGCGCCCACACCACCCACAAAGACTCTGCTCGGACAACCCACGCTCCAGGAGCATCGAAGGGGCACAGAGGAGCTGCTGGCCAGGTGGGAGCCCGCAGCTCAGAAGGCTCGCCGGCAGCGCCACTGCAACCAGCTTGCTCAGGGTGCCTTCGGTGGTAGCAGCTGCCGTGGACACCGACGGCCAGTGAGGCGGTCCCTTCCTGTGCTGGGGTCGACAGTGACCCCAAGGAGTGTGTCCACCCGGAACCTCAGGACGGGACTTACTGGGAAAAGGGCCTTGTGGATGTGATTAGCGATCATTGACCCAGGAGCAGGGTGGGCCCTGACCCAGTCACTGGCGTCTTCACAGGAAGAAGAGAGTAGGACACAGAAACACGCGGAGGGACAGTGCCAGGCGAAGACAGGCAGAGGCTGGAGTGAGGCACCCACAGCCCAGGAACACCCAGGGCTGCTGGCGGCACCTCGAGCTGGAGAGAGGCCGGGACCAGACTCCCTCTGGGCCCAGAAGGAGCCAGCCCTCCTGCGACACCCGGCCCTGGGACTCCCACCCCCAGTCTGAGAGGATAAGTTCCTGCGGTTGAGCCCCCACGTTTGTGGTGCTGTGTCACGGCGGCCCCAGGACACTGGTACTCCCATTTCAGCGATGACCCGTTTCTGAGATGTGAGATGATGAGGTGTCTTTAAACAGACACACTCATCAGTAAAGATATCTATTGATCAGTTGACAAAAATGTTGTGACCAGGGCCTTGCAGGAACCCAACCCAGCGTCTCCCCTGGAGCAACAGCCTGGTACCCACTGATTCCATGTTCACGGCGACGCTCTAGAGCTTGACTATCGCAAATATGAGAACCAAGAGTATCTATAACTGGAGGAAATGCTACTTTCCGTTTAGAAGTTAGTGAAGATAAAGATGTGATTTCTCCCACCCAAGCTCACCAGCCCTGTGGGCTACTGCACCAGCACCAGCATGCTGGGGCTGTCCCCTCTTGGTGATCCCAGGAGGCAAACGACTCTGTCTGGGGAGCAGGCGTCTTCATTGTCATGTCCTGAGAGGCTACCGGAACGTGGGCCCCGGGGAGGTGGCGAGGAGGCCTCTGAATCAGCTGAGATGAATTCCACCACTCACAGGAATAGGGCCTTGAAGGTTCAGAGCAGCTTAGAGCAACCACGTCCCATTTCTCTCTCGCCGGGCCCACAGGCGGCCACGGTCGGACACGGATGCCCAAACACGGGTCAGGGTCAAAGGAAGCAGGAGATGTGACCTGCCCCAGGAGCTCAGGGATCTGAGAACAGAGGCAGGAAGAAGAGAGAGTGGCCGAGTGTTACCGCGGCCCCAACCCCGGGAGATATTAACCACCACCTGCTCAGGACAAGCCTACATTTTACCTTTAGCTTGCAGGAAACCGCAAAGGGAGGAGGAGAAGACGGCTGAGGCCTGTAGTCAGCACCAGTCTAAACCGGTTCAAGGCAACATGGCCGTCTGACTCGGCCTGACGTAGCCCGCAGCTCATTGCACGCTCCTCGTAACACACTGTCATAGCATGGAACACACCCGCTGACACCACGCCAGTTTACAATGACTGGAAACAAACCAAAGAGGGGAAGAAAGGAGGTGGCACCCTATTCGCCTGAAAAGCTGCCCAGTTCCCGACTGTGAATATTCCTCCCCTTCGTTACCTGGACCCCTTATAACAGCTGCCGAATCGCCCCAGGGCTGAGAAGTCGGCTTGTAAACAGAGTTCCGACTTCTCGGTTCTTTGGCCGTTGAATAAAGCTTGTGCTGTTGAACGCTCGGCTTTGGTTTTGTTTCAAATCTGCAACACTGAACAGAAAAGAACCCTCTGGGGAAGGGACGGACTGTGGGCAGAGGCCCAGCCGTGAGCCCTGCCTCGGAGCTCCTCAGAATGTGGGTTGGAGTCCCACGGGGGTGAGATGAAATTGAGTCCCACGGGGGTGAGATGAAATTGAGTCCCACGGGGGTGAGATGAAATGGGTAACAGAATTGCTGCCTGCCGGATGCAGGGCCAATGGGATGTGAGCCCTCAGGCTCCAAGAGCCCCAAACGCCCCCAGAAAAGCTGCATGAACTCGCGTCGTGGACCCGTGGAGCTCGGCACAGCCATGCTGCCTCCTCATATTGATAAGAGCCGCTCCCCAGAGGTCAAAGTTAATTAAACTGACAACCTTGATAAGTCGCTCAGCTAACTGCTGCAGATAAATAAGATGAGAAGTCTTGTTATTTCTCTTGCTCTTTAAGCTCCAATAGTCATTTTAAAATTAAATTACATGGCTTCTCTGAGCTAATACGAATCGATGGGGCGATCTTTCTTTGGTGACTCAGGGATGGCTGACAGGCCTGTGGCCCTGGGAACAGTAGTCATTTCAGCAAACGCAGCCACACGATGGGTTTTGAAGTGACAGATTCAAAACTGGGCTCATTTCTCCCAAAGGTCACGGTTGCGTGGGCTCCACATTCTGTCCTTTCTAACCTCGGAACCCGCCTTCACGCAGCATCCAGTGCGTGGTCCTCCAGCCACAGCAGCCGGGTGTGCTCCAATGTCCCCACAGAGACAGAAATGTCCCCTCAGGGGGCTTGCTCTGCTTCTCTGAGGGGCTGTGGGGGCTGCAGGGGGAAAGAAGTCCCTGTGCCCATCAAGACCCCTCGGGCCGCTGGTCTCTCCTCCTTCCGGTCTCTGTGTCCCGTCTCCCACGGGAGCCCAGAGGGAGCCAGCAGGTCGGGCGATGAGAGGGTGTGGAGGAAACAGGAGCTCACAGCGGGTCTGAGCACGGGGCCCGTGACCTGTCGTGAACACAAAAGAAGAAACAGCCCAGCAGCCCCTAAGGTGCCTCAGTGGAGGACAGGAGGGGAGGGGAGAGAAGAAAGAAGATGAAGAAAGTAAAAAAGAAAGAGAGGAGGGAGGAGCTGACAAAAGACAGACAGACACTGTCCTGGAAGAAAACATTTTAAAAGAAGAGCTTAGAGATTAGATGACAAAACTGAAGAATGAGAGGAAAACCACAGATTTCACAGTTAAAGAAACAAAAGGAGGCTCAAAGCCACATAATATGAAACTGAAAAGGAAATCCGATGGAGCAGAGATCAGAACGAGCACGGCTAAGCACCGAATCGCCGACGGAGGGGAAGCCTGAGGCGCCCACACCGACCGGAGATGCTCGCCCAGAGGGAAGAACCGGAAGGAGATGATAAACCGCTCGGCGTCCTCACGAAGCTGCGTCTGCATCAGGATCTGCGGTGTCCCTGAGAAGGAAATTCAAAAGCAGAACAGAGAGCCAGGCGAGGGTAATGAAGACACGTCCCTGGTGTGCGGGGGCATTGGTCTGCAGCGCCAGGCAAAGCAGGTGCAGGCTTTGTCCCGATCCCGACCGCAGAGGCGGGACGGCGGCACCTGCAGGGAGGGCCTGACCTGGGACCGTGCCCACACCCGCGTCAAACAAGGAGTGGGACTCCCCGCCAGGGCCGCGTGGACAGAACAGCGGGGGCTGGGACCCCCTGGAGGCTATGAAAGACCCCTCTGATGTGGGGACGCGCACGGGGCTAAGGAGTGCGCAGCAGGACGCTCGTGGGACCTCGGCACACACGTGAGACCCTCACCCACATCCCATCCCAGAAACCAGGAAAGAAGAGCAAGAAGAACCCAGCGAGCCGCAGCAGGAGAGAGCCAGGGGCAGAAACGCGTGACCTGAAAACACACACCTCACAGACCGCCGAGCGTAGAGCCGGTTCTGGAAAGATCAGCGAGGTGGGCGCGTTTGCAGCGAGACACGCAGAGAAGGGAGAAGAGCAAATCAGGAGCCGCCGGCCAGCCCCGCAGACCCCAAAAGGCCGGCCCCACAGACCCCGAAAAGCCAACCCCACTGACCCCAAAAGGCCAATCCTGCAGACCCTGAAAGGCCGGCCCTGCAGTTGGATCACCCTGAACCGGAAAGGAGACCCATGGGCAACCTCGCCAGTAACCGCCGCAGTCCTGCCATGTGACACGCACCAGATGCCGAGGTCCTGGCGCTGCTCCCTCGCGCTACGGCCAGCGGGGTTCTCGGGTGGGCCGCTGTCTTGTCCTGTCCTGTCACCTCTGAGGTGGCTGTGGCCGCGGGAGCCGGGCAGCTGGCAGAAGGGCACACGGGAATTCTTTGCTCTGATTTTGCAGCTTTTTTTGCCAAATTATTTAAAAATGAAAAAATTAAAAACTGAGAAAATGCTTTTTAAAATGTACATTTTATTAAACGTAAATTGTACCCCATCAAAAAAACTTTTGTCTAAAAAGTGCATAAAGTGTAATCCTGCTTAGTAAATCAAACACGTGTTTGTACAGAAAGGTTTGGAGGCAAATACACCCAACACGGCAGTGATTACCGTCAGGAGTGAGTTTAAGAAGAGATTTCTCAGGTCTCAGTTTTGCTTTCCTACCATATCTATAATAAGAAAATTACATCCTATCATTTTTCTGTAATTAAAATTGTACTTGCAATTAATATCTATAGTAATTATTGTAATAATCTCACTTTTCAATGTAAATAATATAAATTAAAAATGTATTAACTATTAATTATACAGTTATTATAGTTAATAATTAGTATATATTAATGATATAGTTATTGTTCATCGTTATATAACTAGTTACTATGTTAATCATTTAAAATAATTAATAAAGTTACAATTAGTTATAATTATAATTTCTACAGTTATTCTATGATACGATATTCTGTAACAAGAAATGATTGGTTTTTAAATCAGGGATGAGAGGAGTGGGGGCCCAGAGGTCTCTGCTGGCCTGAAGGGACCCAAAGGGGGACCCTCGGCCCACTGGCAGCTGGGGGTCCACTGTGCATCACCGAGACCGCCTGCTGGGTGGGGGCCCAGGGCAGCCGATCCTGGGTCCCTGCCGGGTGCCCACCTGGGGTCAGAGCACAGCAGGAAAGCTCAGGCCTGCGGGAGGAAGTGGCAGCCCTTCTGGAAGGGCACCGCCCTCCACTCCAGGGGAATGGGCAGCAGGAGCCCCAGACCCACGACCCTGCTCTGCTCCCGAAGGCAGACCCCTCAGTCGTGACAAGATAGGAGCCTCTGGTCCCAACTAGCGGGGTCCTCCTGCCCACCCCCCTCGGGCTGCTCTCCCACCCGCAGCCTCTTCCTCCTCCCAGCCCCAGCCCTCTAATGTGGTTGCTTGTCCGACCCAGACAAGCACGGTTGCTTTAGGAGCTGTTGTCCGTCTTTACAGGAAGAGCAAGACTTATGGCTGCCTGACACCAGGATCAGGCACAGTGATGCCTCTTTTTTTTTTTTTTTTTTTTTGTGAGGAGGATTGGCCCTGAGCTAAAATCTGCTGCCAATCCTCCTCTTTTTTTGCTGAGGATGATTGGCCCTGAGCTAACACCCAGGCCAGTCTTCCTCTATTTTGTATGTGGGACGTCTCCACAGCATGGCTGAGGAGTGGAGCAGGTCCGCACCTGGGATCCAAACCCGAGAACCCCAGCCTCTGAAGCAGGGTGCGCAGAACTTTAACCACTCGGCCACGGGCCAGCCCCTCACAGTGACGCCTCTTAATGAGTTCGTCCACTCACACGGAGTCCCCATCGAGACAGGCTCTGTCTGCAGGCAACGGGAAGCCCCAGCTGCCCAGGAGCAGCCGAGCGGGCGGAGGGAGAGGCCGCAGGGCGGGCGCCTCTCGAGCAGGCTCCTTGGCAGGAGCGGGGAGCGCCAGAGCTCAGGGCTTGTCTCCCAGCTGGTGGGGCTGAGAACTTGCATTTCTTTTCCTTTTATTTTAGGGCAAAAGGAATTTAATAGATATAACAAAGAGCCATGTCAAAAACATATAAAAAACATCTACAAATCAACAAGAAAAATCTAATAGAAAAATGGCAAGATGCTCGATCAGACTCTTCTCACAAGAGGCCATGTGAGACAAGGAGGCAGGTGCCAGCCACACACAGCGTGCCCGGTTCAGCCCCAGAGCTCACACGAGGCGCTCTGACCACGATAAAAAGTGCTTTAAAATGAAAAATAATCACAACAGTAACCAGCATTTCTTCAAGCTCCCGGATGACGCCAACGCTGCTCCAGGGACCCCACTTTGAGAACCAGCGGTGGAACAGCCCAGCATGAGGGCCTCGGGCACAGGGAGCCACCTTCCAGTTGGCGGGACCTCATTACAAACAGCCAAGAGAGGAGTTCATCAGACGCTTCGTGTCAATCTGCATTATCGCAGCCGCAAAACTAACTAATTGCCCCCACCCCTGTCCCCACTTCCTTCCCCGCGGCCCGCAGGCCCCCCCCAGAGCATCTGACATTTATCTTAAAATGGGCGTGTCTCCTCACAAAGTTCGTAGGGTTGTCCCGTGTGTTTTCCGTCCTCCCCAGTGGTGCCGTGTTTACACCTCAATCTACTGCCTCCCTCTGTTCTCACCAGACCCCGCAGCTCGCCGTCCTTCCACGCCGCGTGTGTGTATCTGCCCTGTCTGCGGCCACCAAGTCTTGCTCGTCCGTCCTCATCGTGGACGCTCAGATGGCCCCAGATCCCTGGCCCTCAAACAGCAGCCAGCAAGCTGCCTTTTCCCTTCTTGGGCGTGAGAATCACACACCGCCGTGAAGCCCGGGTGTGTGACGCTGTGTCCACGGCCCAGCAAAGCCACCTCCCCTACCTCCTCCAGGAGAACCAGTCTCTCCACGGAGGGGCAGGGGGTGGTGCAAAGAATTTACCTAGAGCCAGAATCCCAAGAAAACAAATGCGTAATTAGGAATTCCTGAAACAGGGGCCAGCCCGGTGGCGCAGCGGTTAAGTGCACACGTTCCACTTTGGTGGCCTGGGGTTCACCAGTTTGGATCCCAGGTGTGGACATGGCACCACTTGGCAAGCCATGCTGTGGCAGGCGTCCCACACATAAAGTAGAGGAAGATGGGCACGCATGTTAGCTCAGGGCCAGTCTTCCTCAGCAAAAAGAGGAAGATTGGTGGCTGATGTTAGCTCAGGGCTAATCTTCCTAAAAAAAAAGAATTCCTGAAACCATCAAAATGACTAATGAATGACACTTACTTTCAATCATGCAGGAAGAGTGTTTTAATTTTTAAATACAGAAAGTTGGACTCTGAGCCCAATGCGTGGAGCAAAGACGTGGCCACCAAATAGGGGGCCCAAATCCCTCTTCTGATTAGAACAGGCCCCAGGTATCGACTGGGATGAAACAACAAGTTTAACTGGAAATCAATTCCAGAGCAGATTTTCCTGACGGAGTTGACTTCAGCTGTCTGTGCTCAGTGACTCCAAGCTGATCTGCAAGTTCTGCTTCTGGGCTGGGGGTGGTGCGAGACTGTCCACTGCCCCACCCAGCCAGGGTCCACCAGCCACCCCACCAGGATAGGGACTGCCAGCCATCTCCCAATCGGGCCAGGGAAAGAGTCAAAGCTTCAGAGACTCAGAGCCTCCTTGCCTTGACCTCTTTTGGGGAGAGAGACTTTGGGGGTGGGCAGGCAGGGGCGTCCTTTGGGAAGCCCACCGTCCTCCCCGCAGGCCCTCTGTCCTCCAGCCCAGGTCCCACTCAGACGGCTCCCAGGCCCTCGAGGGCCCAGAAGCACCAGGCGACAGCATCAGACAGACAAGAGGACTCACCACAGATGTCCTGGTCAGTGTCCTGGGTGCAGGGCCACACGCCAGAGCTGTCTCACCTACCACTGCCTGTGACTGAGACGCGTAGTTCCTACGAAGGCTCAGCCCCGGCCACTGGCACCAGCGCCCAGCATCCCTCAGCTCAGCTCAGGACAGGACAGGTCGGGAGTGGGCAGAGCGCTGGGGCAGGCCTCACCCACCGCCAGACTCCTGCTGCCTCGGTGGGGTCTGCGCATCTGCCTCTCCAACCTGCCCTGCGTCATGCTGATGCTGCGGCCGGGGACGCTGCTCTGAGTCCAAGAGCCGCAGAG